AGCAGGCAGGGAACCGGGGTGACTTGCCGAAAGCCACAAAACGCATTTCTAGTAGAGGGAGGGTTTTGGCTCAAGTCCATTTGCCGTCCACTTGGCCACACCCAGCGTGTGGTTGAGCGTTCAGGCGATTTAAAGTGAGACCGAGAACTTGGTAGCACTTCTGCAGCTCTCACGTGTGTGTCCCATCCGAGTGAGAGGCTGACCTCTTTGCGTTGTGTTCTCACCTCCCGGAGATGAGCCTAGAGTCGGATTCGACTGGCTTTCGAGCAAGGGAACCTTTACCTTTACCTTTTTATGATGATACTGGCTGTGGTGCCCGGTGCCTTGGAGCTGGTCTTGGGTGATCTTGTTGTTCCCGGTTGTGTTTCTGCAAGGAGGGGGCGAGTGGCAGGCCCGCAGTGCCCACCGACTGTGGAGTCCTGGGGGGTATGGCCTATGGTTGTCCGAGTGAGCAGCCTTCCCTGGGGCGGTGGTGGGGGCTCACCTAGAAGGCTGCTGTGGGATTCAGCTGGCACTCTGTGAAAGGAGGCCACAGTTTAGGAACAGGGCGCAGCAGCCAGACTGTTTCAGACGGCCGTGTTCAGCTTATTTCTCACATGCGAAGGCATGCAAGCAAAGAGTTTGAGCTGTTATGATTCTGCCCCTCCATCCTGGCAACTGGGGTGGGGGGAGTGTATGGAAGCAATCTTGACCTGGGCGACGAAGGACTAAGGCCAATTGTATTCAGTGGGGCTTACTCCCAGGAAATGGGAAGGGCACCCCATCCTTACCCCACAACTTAGGCAGAGGAGGGCGGGGGGAGTGTATGGAAGCAATCCTGACCTGGGCGACGAAGGACTAAGGCCAATTGTATTCAGTGGGGCTTACTCCCAGGAAATGGGAAGGGCACCCCATCCTTACCCCACAACTTAGGGAGAGGACAGCTGTTGTAGGTAGCAGCCAGTTTGGTGCGAGAGCCAGTGTGGTGTCGTGGTTAAGTGCTCGGACTCTAATCTGGGAGAACCGAGTTTGATCCCCTACTCTTCCACTTGCACCTGCTGTCACAAGTTCTCTCAGAGCTGTTCTCTCAAGGGCAGTTTTGGAAAGAGCTCTCTCTCAGCCCCACCTACCTCACAGGGTGTCTATTGTGGGGAGGGGGAGGGGAAGGAGTTTGTGAGCCACTCTGAGACTCCCAGTGAAGGGTGGGATATACATTGAATTTCTTCCTCCTCTCCTCCTCCTCCTAAGTTGTGTGGTAAGGATGGGGTGCCTGTCCCATGGAGCCCATGTTGCTGCTGCAACGATGAGCTTCATTTGGGATATTACATTTGACAAGCCTTTATTGGCATACGTATACACATATGTATGGTGGGAAGGGAGCAAGGGAACCTTTACCTTTATCTATACACATACAATAGAGATCAGATTAAATACATTTGGGGTATTAGTTCAGAGGCTGAAACACCAAGGCGCACGGAACGCTGTGACCTTCCCACCGAAGTGGTCCCTATTTATCTACTTGCCATTTCTTGCTTTCGAACTGCTAGGTTGGCAGGAGCTGGGACTGGAGACGGGAGCTCACTCCGTCATGCGGCACCCGGGTCTCGAACTGCTGAACTACCGACCTTCCACAGCCTGCAGTTCAGCGTCTTAACCACTTGAGCCACCGCAGCTCCTTTATTGGCATACGTATACACATACAATAGGAGATCAGATTAAATACATTTGGGATATTAGTTCAGAGGCTGAATGTCTGCATGGCATGCAGAAGGTCCCAGGTTCAATTCCCGGCATGTCCAATTAAAATGATCAGGCGGTAGGTGACGTGAAAGACCTCAGCCTGAGACCCTGGAGATCCACTGACGGTCAGAGTAGACAGTACTGATTTGGATGGACCGAGGGTCTGATTCAGTCAAAGGCAACTTCATGTGTTCACCCCCTTCTCTTGTAGAACAAAGTTTGAGTCCGGGGGCACCTTTTAAGACCAACAAAGTTTAATTTTGACTTTCTGAGTATAAGCTTTTGTGTGCATGCACACTTCTTCAGATACATTGAAACAGACTTCCTCAAGCCTTACATATAGGTGGGAGGGATAGTTGCCAGGAACAGCTAGTCATTCAATGTGGTGTCGTGGTTAAGTGTGCGGACTCTGATCTGGGAGAACCGGGCTTGATCCCCCACTCCTCCTCCATGTGCAGCTGCTGGATGACCTTGGGCAAGCCACAGTTCTCTCAGAGCTGTCCTTGAAAAAGAGCAGTTTCCGTCACCCCCACCTACCTCGCTGGGTGTCTGTTGTGGGGAGGGGAAGGGAAAGGAGTCTGTAAGCCGCTCTGAGACTCCGAGTGAAGGGCGGGGTATAAATCCAATCCAATCTCCTCCTCCTCTTCTTCTCCTCTTCCTCCTTGGATCTGTTTGTAACCTCCTTTATTCCGCTGCATGCTAATTTGCCGCTATTCACCTTCATTCAGTCTTGGCTGTATTTGCTGCTCAGTGACTTATGCATCTTGACTCTTAATTGGCCCTTCCTGGCTACACCCTCCTCACCCATTATCTGTACGTAATGGTCGGTGACTTGGCTTCTGTTTCCAGTGTATCTGAAGAAGTGTGCACGCACACAAAGGCTTATACCCAGAATAAAGCCTTGTCGGTCTTAAAGATGCCACTGGACTCAAATTTGGTTCTGCGGCTTCAAACCATCATGGCCGCCCCCCTGAATCGTCCTTCTCCTGTGCGTCTTGCCCAAGTTGGCAATTTCTGTGAGTGCTTCTCTTTCTCTCCCTCTGCTTGTCTCTTTCTCTCCTTCCCCTTCCTTCCATCCATTTCCCACTCTCCGGTTCGTTTCAGTTTGCTTCCCTTTTGCCAGAACGGCATTCATTGGTTTTCTTATTCAGAGAGCCAGTTTGGTGTCGCTACTCTCCTTCTAGCGTGGACTCTAATCCGGGTTTGATTCCCCACTCCTCCTCCACTTGCACCTGGCTGGATGACCTTGGGCAAGCCGTAGTTCTGATAAGGGCTGTCCTCGGAAAAGAGCAGTTTCTGTCAAGAAGTCTCTCAGCCCCGCCTACCTCACAGGGTGTCTGTTGTGGGGCAGGGGAAGGGAAAGGAGTCTGTAAGCCGCTCTGAGACACCTTTGGGTAGTGAAGGGTGGGGTAGAAATCCAATGTCTTCTCTTCTTCTTCTTCTTCTTCTTCTTCTTCTTCTTCTTCTTCTTCTTCTTCTTCTTCTTCTTCTTCTTCTTCTTCTTCTTCTTCTTCTTCTTCATCACTGTGTCTTGTGTAGTGTGGGAACAGAGCAGTATCATGTCATGCTGTGCACCCTGATGCGTGCAGCCTGTGACTCTCCTGCGGCTCCTCTGTCCATGACTACAGCACAGATTTCCACCCCTGTAAGAGCGTAGAAAGAATCCTGTTCTCCAGCCCCTGCATTATGTCTAGAGGCACAATCCTACCTTTTCCTCTGTCCCTGGACTTCTCACGTTGGTATGGAATGTATGAGGCAGCTGTTGGCAGCCACACCGAGTTCTTTGTGAAAGTTGGGCTGGGGAATGGGAATGAAGGCTGGGGAAGTCAGGATATGGGCAGGAAAAGAACCTCAGTGGGGTATAGATGTACAGAGTCCGCCGGCCAAAGCTGCCGTTTCCTCCAGGGGGACTCAGCTCTGTAGTAGAGGGACCGATGCTCCCTCTAAGCTGTGGAGTCTCGTGAGCAAAAATTCTACTTTGTGAGCTGCCGGCATTGAAGTTGTGAGCGAGCGATTTGGCTACTGCGTACCTTAGTTTGCTCTGGGGCCATCCCTCCCTGGGCTGAGACAAAAATGTGGGAGCCGGAGGCTAAAAAACTGTGAGCTAGCTCACACTAACTCAGCTTAGAGGGAACACTGGTCTGGACCAATGCTCCCTCTAAGCTGTGGAGTCTTATGAGCAAAAATTCTACTTTGTGAGCTCCTGGCATCAAAGTTGTGAGCGAGCAATTTGGCTACTACATCAGTTAGTTTGCTCTGGAGCCATCCTTCCTGAGCTGAGAGAAAAATGTGTGAGTCGGACGCTAAAAAAACTGTGAGCTAGCTCACACTAACTTAGCTTAGAGGGAACACTGGTCTGGACATCACTTGTAATTCCTGGTGATTTCCAGGTCTCAGCTGGAGGTTGGCAACTCCAAGTAGTCGTGCTTTGTGCTGTTTGACAGACATGGCCACCAGGTTTCTGGTTTCCTTTCCAGTTGTCTGGGGGGGTTAGGGTAGACCATCATCTTTTGGGCCGTAGGGATTTTGTCACCTGCAAGGAGCACTGCCTCCTTCTGCTCATGCGCCCCCCAGGTCCAAGCTGAACCCACCGCAGCTTGTCTTTGGCGGGCATAGAGGGAGAGCGGGATGCACGGTTGTCACCACCACTCATGCATGTGGCTGCGGCCCGGGAGCAGGGTTGCCAGCCTCCAGGTGGGGCCTGGAGATCTCCCGCTTTTGCAACTGATCTCCAGCCGAAAGAGATCCGCTCCCCAGGATAAAATGGCAGCTCCGAAGGGTGGTGTGTGTGGTATTGTAACCATGCGGAGGCCCCTCCCCTCCCCAAACCCCGCCCTCTCCCGGATCCACCCCCAAAGCCTCCAGGAATTTTCCAACCCAGACCTGGGAACCCTACCTGGGAGCATGCGAGTTCCCTGCAGGCCGTCAGTGCCGTCCCCAGCAGCCGCCTTCGTGGAGAACCGGCCTGGGGGGCGCCTTCTGTTCCTCCTTGGGCAAGAGAGCTGTGAAGGGTTGCCAGGTCTGGGATGGCAAATACCTGGGGACTTTGGGGGTGGATCCAGGAGAGGGCGGGGTTTGGGGAGGGGCCTTATCAGGGTACAATGCCATATAGAGTCCAGCAATGCTCCCGCTAGGCTGTGGAGTCTTGTGAGCAAAAATTCTACTTTGTGAGCTACTGGCATTAAAGTGGTGAGCGAGCGATTTGGCTGGTGTACA